AATGAAAGAATGGAACCCATAAAAAAATTTAAAACTTTCTGTAGATAAAAGCCCTAAATATACAGAGCTACATGAATTGTAGATAAAAGCTCTAATTGTATAGAGCTACATGAATATAACTAAACATTACTCATATCCCTAAAACTAACATCTTCTTCAAACACGAAGGAGGAAGACGAGAGAGTAATGATGAGTCACGAGCGAGAATCCAACGAGTCGCGACGGTGAGGTAATTCACCTTGAAATAGAAGCAATTCCGTTCGACTTCATCGGAGATCAATTCCAGTTTGGTTAATGTAGATCGATCCGCGAGCTCAGCCTTAAGACAACATTGAGAGATTCCGTTTTCGGCGGTATAGGAGAACCGAGATCTGATTGGTGAAAACGCAAAACGTTGTAGTTGCGATTGGTAGTTGAGATTCGATGAAAAAACGAGCGGTGGATCGAAAGGTTTGAGAACTGGAGAACGGGAAGATTGGAAGAGCCGTGGAAGCCATTGTTGTTGTAGAGTTTTTAGATCAGTGACGAGAGGAGAAGATAAAGAGAGAATAGCGTGAGATGTAAAAGAAGGAGCTTGAGTTTATTTAAAGGTAGTTTAGACTTTAGTCTTGTAGAAAGAGTGTCTTCGTCACAAAGTGTCTCATTGTGTGAACTGTTCACAATAAAGTGTCTTTGAGTGCTATTTTCTCATCGATGGCAACTAAAATCCCAGATTTGTCTTCATCAGCGCCGATGAACACTCGAGTGCTGCATTTACAAATGTTCAATTTCTGGTAATGTTCATTGATCTCAATACTCTCTTGCCTCGAAAATTCCATTATGGCGAAACATGTCTTATTGTAAGATCATATAAAGGCAAATTCATGGAAGCTTTGTACCTTGTTCTAATATTTTGAGTATTCTCTTCGGTTTCGCCTATTCTTAAAGCAAGCATAGAAGGCTTAAGCTTTGCGATATCGATTATGGCTTCACATTGGTGTTTCGTTGCGAAATTCAGCAAGTAATTAAAAAGCCCAAGCTTTCCAGCTTAAAACCTGACTAGCCACATCAAAACATATGATTTGCACTACCAAATCGTATCATATACTTGTGAAAATCTATGATCATTTAACCTGAAAGGGAATGTTAGAGACATAATGTAATGACCCTCGTTAAGCCCAAGCAGCTTGATGAATAAGCTGGGCAGCTTGCTTGGTGGCCGAGCTGCTTCGGCCGTGGGTAGGCCACNGGCAGGCTTGCGNCCGAGTTATGCCTAAGCGGGGCGAGCACACGCTGGTGTGTGTCGGACACACGCTTGGTCAGAGACACGGTCTTGGACGCGTGTCGCGGCACGGGCAAGGCTCGCTGGATCGGCCTTGGCAGGTGGCCGCGGGGCGTCCAGCTGCTTCGCCTGCTTACCCCCGCCTATAAATAGCCGGTCCCTTTACCCCCGAACCAACTAGCCGCAAAGTTTTAACTCAGCCCACGATAG